AAGAAAAAGGGAGCCTTGAACAGTCGAAGAGTTCATGTTCGTGCTCATTGTCCCGCTTTGCGTGACAGTCGTGGATCAGAGTGATTAGCTCACGCGATCAGAGTGACCCGTTCTTGCATTAGTGACTCATACTTCTTGCGACATGGACTCATACATCACACACCACAACACACACACACACACACACAGACACACACACACACACACACACACACACACACACACACACACAGAGTCTGAGAGAGAGAGAGAGAGAGAGAGAGAGAGAGAGAGAGAGAGAGAGAGAGAGAGAGAGAGAGAGAGAGTCTGAGAGAATGACTCGGAGAGCGGCGGAAGAGGCGGAAAAGCTTCGTCAGAGGGCGAATGAGATGCTCCGCCAGGATCCGCGCAACGCGCTGCGGTACGCGGAGGAAGCCAACGTAAAGAATTACACCCCCGATGGAGACAAGCTGATCACCATCATCAGGATTCATATTGCCGCTGCTGTTCGTATGCCCGGCTCCCCCGATGGTCGGGATTGGTACGGCATTCTTCAGGTCAATCCCACTGATTCCCACGACACGATGCGCACCAAGTACCGCGCTCTGTGCCTGCACACGCATCCCGACAAGGCCAAGAATTTTGATGGGTGTGAAAACGCTTTCAGACTGCTGAAGCTTGCGTGGGAAGTGCTCGGGGATGCCAACAAGCGAAGAGCATACGATCAATCACTGGCGCAGAGAAGAGCTCCAGGTGGACTCGCAGGGGGAGGAGGGGGAGCAAGGGGAGGAGGAGGAGGAGGAGGAGGTGTTGGTGGTGTGAACTACGGCCATTACTCCTCATCGTCCACGGTTCCTCCCTCGAGGTCGGGATCGGGATCGACGCCATCGTCGTCTTCGTCGGCGACGGTATCGCGGCCTGCCATTCAGGAGCCGTTCACCGTCGCGGTTACATGCCCGTTCTGCAAACACGCCTGCCGGAGGAAGTACTCGGTCATGATGGGCAGACAGGTTCTCAGTGATGAACTCATCTTCTGCGCGAAGTGCCAACGAAACTTCTATCCTTAAGAGATTCAAAATTCAACGAGTTGGCGCAGCAGCAGCAGCAGCAGGAGGAGGAGGAGGAGGAGGAGGAGGAGGAGGAGTAGGAGTTCAGCGCGCCGGAAGAAGGAAGGAGGACAACCTGAAACGTCGTCGTCGCTTACATGTCTGATCGACCCTCCTTCATGTCCTGACGTGTAAAATATACATTGATTATGGTGGACATATGATTGAACGTGGGTTGGATAGGATGCTACTGCTGGGACGACACACTCACCCTCTCTCTCCTCTCTCTCTCTCTCTCTCTCTCTCTCTCTCTCTCTCTCTAAAACCTTTGATTGCCAAGGATAGGAGGGCCGGCAGAGTTGAAGGTTGTGAGTCGGAGTGAGAGTGAGGGAGCGAGAGGGTGAGGTTGGTCGAATTGCGCTTTCGAATACGGAGAGAGCAAGCAATACGGAAAGGCGGTCGGAACAGGAGAGAGAGAGAGAGAGAGAGAGAGAGAGAGAGAGAGAGAGAGAGAGAGAGAGTTTTGAAGTAGTGGTATGGGATCGATAGGGATGTCGATGAACCATCGGTGGGTGTGAGCGCGCACGTGTATGTATGTGCTTCTCCGCGAATCTGGGGGCAGAGAGAGAGAAAAGGTTTGGGAGATGGGGGGGAGCGGGGGGGGGGGGGGGGGGGGGGGGACGGGGAAGAGATTAGCCGAATTTTGACTTGCCGAGTTTTCCAAGCAGTCGGCCAGAGTAGGGACACTGTCTGTCCACATCAACATCGGCGGCTTTCCTTTCCTAATTTAGCCAGCATGGAACCGACGACCGTAGTCTGCTGTAAAAAGTCGCCCTTCGTTTTCCTAATTTGTCCCCCTGCCATATCGCCTAATCCCCTCGTTGCGCTTTCCACACCGACCCACACACACACACACACACAGCGGCAGATTGAGACGCACAGAGAGGGGTATTGAGCGGCAGATTGAGACGCGCAGAGAGGATTGAGCGGCGACACCCATGGATGATTAGTACCTGGGCGACACCCATGGTTGAGTTTAGAGAGTCAAGGGGAGGGGAGCTAATGATGATTCTGTGGAGGCCTTGTGCTCAGCGAAGAAGGTGGGCCTTAAGCGAAGAAGGACGCCGCTCCGTTGATTTGCGCGCCGTTGATCTTCTGCTGACGTCTAAATGCATCGGACAGACTTCTTGCGGGCGGGTGGGCGTTTCTACTCGAACGAAACAAAGTAGAAACGCCCAATCGATGTAAGATACGGAGGTTTATAGTGAATGGAGGAGCACAGAGAAGAGGAGAAGAGAAGGAGAGGAGAAGGGAGGGAGATTGTAGCGAAAGCTGGGTTGTGTGAGGTTGAATAAAGAACGGAGGGGAATAGAAGAGAACAGCTCTGCGCATTTCCGCCGCAGATCATCGGAGGGGTTTCGAAGGTGCAAAAAGAGTTACGTGACTAGATTCTTTGTTCATTAGAGGGCTTATCCATTTATTTATTCTTTTGTCCACACACACACACACACACACACACACACACACACACACACACACACACACACACACACACACACACACACACACATAGAGAGAGAGAAAGAGAGAGAGAGAGTTGGGGCGGGAGGGAGGGGAGGGGGCAGGGCGGTGTTTGTTCTGCACGTCTGATGACGAGAGCGCCACTGACTTTCGTCTTGCGTGCGCCCGATAGCGACCGGACCGAGCGACGGACGAACCCACCGACCGGTCGAGCGGCATACACGCGGGCCAATGACCGGCAGCGGAATGCACTTGACGAGCCAGCAGCTTTTGTCTTTCGTTGTCTATCTATCTATCTATCTTAGTATTTCAAGTCACACAGGTATAGCCAGCTACTTAAGAGGAAGCCGGAGAGAAGCAAGAGAGAGAGAAGGCAGAGACCAGATTGAGAAGACACAGAGAAGACACAGAGACGATAGACCGGAGAGAGAGAACCACTTACCCTCCTGATCACACAACCGTGCACACAGAGAGAGAGAGAGAGAGAGAGAGAGAGAGAGATGTCTTTCTTAATTACCGAAAGCCTCGTTCGATCTGTGTGTTTAGCCGTCGAACGTTGCGCCCTCAGTTGTTGAGCCATTCCATTCTCCCGTCTTCCTGACGCAGCTTCCGGTCCGACAGCTGCGGCAGTGGTGCTTAACGACAGTTTATGTTTGTATACTTATCTATCTATCTATCTATCTATCTATCTATAAGATAGATAGATAGGTAGATAGATACTGTACGGCAGGGGAGGTCAAGATAACGTTGTTTAACGGAGGGAGTGAATGGATGGCATAACGCACGACGGACGACTACTTGGCTGTAGGGGAAAGGTGGAAGCTGGGGGGGGAGGTCTCTCTCCTCTCGACATAGCCGACCTACCTTTATCCTCTTCCATTTTCGATTTCCACAGTCGTCACTGGAAGCAGAGAGACACGTCCGCTCAGACCAGGTCTGGCCTATTATATCGGGCCCTTTTGCTTCTCACAGACACAGAGAGAGAGAGAGAGAGAGAGAGAGAGAGAGAGAGAGAGAGAGAGAGAGAGAGAGAGAGGAAGCATGGTTGGTGTCTTCAGCCTGGGGAGTGCAAAAAAAGAAACACGGGAGGGGAGGAGAGTGGAGACGAGGGGAAGTATATATGTCTGATCTCAGTTCTCTCGTTTAATCGGAATGATCAGCGTCATGATCTGCTATCTTCATCGAATCTTCCTTTATCCGTTGGTTATCCGTTTTTGATCTGGTATCTTCATTGAATCTTCCCTGAAATTCGATTTTTTCCGATCGGCGTGTCCGCGTCGCTCTCCGGTCTGGAATCTCCGATTGCAGATCGCGACGAATTCCAGGTCGGGGTCTGGACGACTCCGATCCGCGATCGCAGCCGTCCGATCGACGGCCTGGAGGACTCCGAGATTCACGAACCATCTTCAATCGCGGATCGGGGCTGACGGTCGGGATCTCGGATTTGGAGGTCGAGGGCCAGACGACCTGTGCGTATATATATATAGAGAGAGGGCCCCGAGCCCCACAGATAGCCGTTCGATTTAAGATTTTTCGGTGTTCTGGTCTCTATCTGTGAATTCTTTAATGGAGGATGGGTTATATCTCTGTACAGTAAAGCGAGGAGAAGACGGGAGAGAATGAGCGGGATCCCTTTCGGAAGGGAGCATGATCGGGATCCCTTTCAGAAGATGAGCCCTTTATGAACAGCGACGGAAACAGGCAACCTTCGTCTAGGAGATCTTCGTCACCGCCAAAGGCCCTTTGAGAAGATGACCTCTTCAGAAGAGGACCAGCAGCAGCAGCAGCAGAAAGGGAGGAGGAGGAGGGGGAGGAGGGGGAGGAGAAGGCTGAAGCTGCTGCTGCAGTCTGAGTCTAGGCTTAATCTACAGTCGTGCGTCAGAGACATGATGATGATGACAAGAAATGATAATGGATGTTGAAGACGACGAAGATTCGAATGATGACGACAACGAAAATCACAATGCGGGTGAGTCCGTGAGGTTCAAAGTGCGACAACGAAATCGGCGTCTGCTGTAAGTGTGGGTGCGAGTGTCACACACACACACAGAGAGAGAGAGAGAGAGAGAGAGAGAGAGAGAAGGGGGACATGTTCGGGATTCCTTGGCTCGGGGGAGGTGTGATGACGTCATCACAGCCGGTGCGATTATGTACAGAAGGTTCAGATAGGTTCATTTTTAAGGGTCCTGTTTTTTTTTTTTTTTCCCTTTTTTTCAATGATTTTGCTCCGTCTTTTGTCAATTTAGTGCGGAAACTTTATTGGGGATTCATTCCGTCAAACGTTGTTACCCAGTAGCAATGGGGAAAGAGGATCGTAAGCCGCGGGGACAGAAAACGCAGTTAAAGGAAAAACCGAGTCAGGCACGATGTGGTGCCAGTGTTTGTTGGAGAGAGAGAGAGAGAGAGAGAGAGAGAGAGAGAAGTGTAACCGGAGTGGGGACGTGGTGATTCATCCTCTGGATGAATTTTGCGGGGGAGGAGGATGAATGTCGCGCGGGACGAGTTGCGTGGGACAGACTGCGGTCACCATCACGGGGTGCCTCTCAAGTCTCGACAGTTTTGCCCTTTTACCTTAGCTTCGTATTCGTGAATCGGTCTTGTTGTCAGCTGAGTAACTAGAACACGTGTTTACGTGTGTTTGTTGTAAATCTGGCTGCTGTGTCCAGGGGGGAGGGGGGGAGAGAGAGAGAGAGAGAGAAAGAGAGAGAGAGAGAGAGAGAGAGAGAGAGACAGAGATAGAAGGAGGAAGAGACAGAGAGAGAGAGAGAGAGAGAGAGAGAGAGAGAGAGAGAGAGAGAGGAAAACAATGTTGCCTTAACATTATTATGTTTTTTTAAGTCAAGCTGGATTCAATTACGCAATAATTATGCGTTGACCATAGTGTGGGCACTTCCTCACTTTAATCGAATGAATAATGTCGATATTAAACTTCTTTTTTTTAATGTTCATGTTGGTCTTTCTTTGTTGTTTGCTCTTTCATTGGTGCTCTCTTTCTCTCTTGATCTGTATCTCTTTCTATCTCTCTATACATATC